ATTCAACTTTTTAAATAAGCAAGCTATGATGTTCATGAAATATTGATTTATTTTCTCTCAATATACTTTGAAATAAAAAGAGAATATTTCGTCTACCTGAATTTTTTTCATGAATCTCAATTTGGAAAATACTTCATAGTGGAAAGTATTTATCAGACACACAGGAGACCTGGATTTTCACCCTGGGCCCTCAGTAAATGCTGGTTTTTTTCATTTCTTTTCTTATGGAGCGCTTTGTGAATTTCTATTTCATCCTTGAGCAGCGACCATGCTAATCTCCTCTGTATTGTTCCAGTGTTAGTACATGTGCTGCTTGAGTGAGCAGTACACGCTGTTTATTATTGAGCAAATTCTTTCACCTCTCTGGAGCTCATTTTCCTCATGTGAATGAGAGGTGAGACTAATCGCCTACAGATCCAACTCTAGTGTCCAGGCCTGGGGCCCAGTGTGCTCTGTGGTTCCTCCAGGTTTGCTACTGTCACTGGGCGGCCTAGTGTCTCCACTGCCCCATCCCATCTCCTGAGACGATCTTCCCCCTCACAGAAGAAACCTTCTGTTTTAATAATATATCCATGGCTGCACTTACAGATAAGGAAACCTTCTAGGTCCAGATAGGTAGCAGTGAGGTCAACACTGTCAGGCCTGGCCTAAACCAACAGGACAAAGCAAACAGGCTGGTTTTAGCAAACAACAGCAGCTTCTTACAGGGCAAAAGGGCTCAAAATGAAGTATACAACCCCCCTGGGACCAAAAAGTCAAGTGGTTGTCTACACATGTGAGCAGACTGTCCTTGGACATCCAAGTCATAAATATTTCACCCGATTCCTTAGACCCTTCAATACCTACATAAGCCTAATTCCTTCCCCCAGTTAGTTGCTAATATCTCTCTCCTGGTGTTAGCCCATCCTCTCATGGATGAAATCTCTCCCAGCTAGTTGCCACTATCTCTCTCTTCCAGTGCCAGCCCATCCACACACAGATGTGATAAACTCAGCTTTTCTCGGCTAGCTACTAGAATCTCCTGATTTTAATTCCTGACTTTAGTCCCTATTTATTAGAATAAACTCTTCTTTCAAAGCCCATTTTGACAAGTGGATTCTTTATACCAACCACTGCTAGAAAAAAAAGTTTGCTTGCCGGGGATTTAGCTCAGTGGTTCTGCCACCTGCCTCGAAAACATAAGGTCCCAAGTTGGATCCCTGGTACCAAAAAAAAAGTTTGCTCCACACATTTTTAAACTTAAAGAACAGGAAACTCAACTCCTGGGATAATTTTAAACTTTAGTTATAAGATATAAACACAGGCCATAAAATAGATCACCTTCATGAAATGGTGGTTTATACCTAGCAATTACACACTAGAAATTTATTTGAAGGAAAATAAGGAAAGATGCTGTCAAATATCCATGAACAGGAATAGTCCTAACGAGCTGGGACTGGTGGCACACATCTATAATCTCAGCACTGGGGAGGCTGAGGCAGGAAGATCGCTGAGAGTTTGAGGCCAGCCTGTGCTACATAGTGAGACTTGTCTCAAAAAACCAAAAGAGAGAGAAAGAGAGAAATAGAAAAAAGTCATAATAGTATTCATTATACTATAGAACGACTAACAACATAAATGTCCAATAATAGGAAAAATGTTTAAGAACTTGCAACCTTGATGAAATTCAGTATTTTAAAGACTGCTTACAATGTGTGAACATGCCCATGATAAATAAGAATAAAGAGTATCCAGGGGCTGGGGATTTAGCTCAATGGTTTTGCCGCCTGCTGCTCAAGCGGCAATGACCTGAGTTCGATCCCGGTACCAGAAAAAAAAAAAAGAATAAAGAGTATCCAAAATATAATAATATTGCCAATACAATGGAGCACAGAGGAAAAAGAGAAAGAAAAAATAGTAAGAGAACCAGGCCAGGTGGCACACACTGTAATCCCAGTGCTTAGGGAGGCTGAGGCAGGAGGATCATGAATTCAAGCCCAACTTAGGCAACTTAGTGAGACCTTGTCTCAAAATTTTTAAAAAAAGGGCTGGACTAGTCCAACACCCCAAGTGGATCTCAGTATCCCAATCAATCAATCAATCAATCAATGGAAAGCACAAAAGGGTTAAATCTCCAGTACTGCAAAAGCTAGACAACACCGAAGGGCTCATTATAATTGTCTCTGTGTGAAGAGGCACAGTTATAGAAGATCTTAATTTTCTTTTTTTTTTAAATTCTCATGATATTTTTCTCTCTTTATAATAAATATGATGTACTTTTAGAATCAGAAAGCATGAAGCAAGCCTGGTGTGGTGGTGCTCACCTGTAATCCCAGCACCCAGAGGCTGAGGCAGGATCGCCATGAGTCAAGCCAGCCTGGGCTCCATAGGGAGACCTTGTCTCAAAAAAACAGCATGAAGCAATTTTTTTTTCTGGTACCAGGGATCAAACTCAGGACTTTGTGCTTTCAAGGCAGGCGCGGTCACACTGAGCTAAATCCCCGGCCCAGTGAAACAATTTTGTTTTTTTAAAGATTGCACCTCTCTTGGCTCTGACTCTGTGAAAATATCCAACCCATTCACAGATATTTATTGAGAATATATTCTATATATATTATAAGACTGTGCCAGACACTGTTCTGAAAAAACAATTTGTAATGGCAGATTGTTATTCAGGGCTGTAATAATCAACAGATCATTAACATCTGTAACAACACTCTCAGCACCTCCCCAGGCTTCATTTTCTGTTGTCCTTGTTAGTGTGGCCCATACTTCACTGGAGAGCTCCATCGAGGGACCCAGCCACCCCAGGACCAACGCTTCAGGAACCCACAGGGTGAGTCAGGCGTGGTGGGAACCGTCCTGGGTCGGTGAGGGCCCTGGGTAAGCTGTGGAACTTGCCCTTGCTGCGCGGAGAGCCCAACCCCCTCAGTACAAGCACCCTGAACTATGACCCTGCAGATACTTCTCTCATGACCTTCTCATTCTCCTGGCCTGAATTTTTAAATTTTTAAAAGAAGTAACTTTATTTATTTAAAAAAAAAAAAATCTCCTTAAAACTCCAGAATGCCCCCCCCCCCCGCACTGAACCTGCCCTTCACACTGAGCCATATCCCCAGCCCTTTTCTATTTTTTTATTTTGAGTTCTGAGACAAGGCCTCTCTATCTCACTAAGTTGCCCAGATTGGGCTCAAACTGGTGACACTCCTGCCTCAGCCTCCCAGAGTACTGAAATGACAAGCTTGCACCACCATGCGTGGCTTTTGCATATGTGTGTGTGTGTGTGTGACAAGTTCTCAGCACCATGTTGCCCAGGCTGACCTTCAAATCCTGTTCCTCCTAAGTAGCTGAGATTATAGGCATAAGCCACGATCAGACAGCAAGAATGTCAGGAAACAAGCAAGGAGCACGTTTTCTTCATTTTTTTTAAGTTTAATTGGCTTTTCAATTTACTTTTTAAAAATGTTCTGTGTTTTCATAAATTGTCAACAGTGTTTCCTGAAGGTGCTCCCTAACCTCATAGTTATGCTTCACTGCTCAGTAATTTTTCAGTTATTTCTTTCTTTAAGGGTTCTTACTCCCCTGTACGTTGGATACCTCACACCAACCAGTCACAGCCTACAGTCCTGAGCACTGCTTACAATTACCTATTTCAATATATTGCATCAAGAATATTTAGTAAAATAGTCCATTTAACCTTCTGATAATGCTGAATTAACTGTGAGACACTATTATTTGTGAAGATCAATGTTAGCTGGTATTGGTGGCACATGCCTGTAATTCCAGCACTCTAGAAGACTGAGGCAGGAAGATCACAAAGTGGGGATGCAGCTCAGTGTGAAGGCCCTGGGTTCAATCCCCAGTACCAGAGAAGGAAAGAAGTCAGTATTAGAAATAAAAGTAGTAATGCACTACAGATCCTGGGTACTGAATCAAATAACCCCAAGAGACAAACAACTCTGGGTAGACTTTTTTTCCTTTCATTTGAATGTCAGTGTTTTTTAAACAGATAAAAACCTCACCTGGAAATAAATTTAAATGCTCATCAAGAAAGGACCAGTAAAATAAATACAGTAGATTCAGCAAACAGATTTTTCCTCAAACAGATTAAAATGCATTTCTACATCTCCATGTGGAAAGAGATCCTATATATAAAGTGAAAACAAGACTGGTGCAGCCGATGTGATTACATGTTACATAAAAGATACACATATATGTGCTTGTACATAATTAAACACTTCTGGAAGGAAACATATTATTCCTCTCTGAAGAACAGGACTGAGGTGGGCAATGAGAGAAAGTTTCCCCTCGTCCCCTCCCACCTCCGTTTGACACAGGGTCTCACTTCATCACAAATTCGAGATCCTTCTGCCTCAGCCTCCCTGAGCACTGGGGTTACAGGCGTGCTGCCACCAAGTCGAGCCCCCCTCCCCATACATTCTATGTAAATGAGCTTCAGGTCAATACTTTTGAGAGGTGGAAAAATAACTCCGCTGTTGGCTTTTTAAAAATCGCCCACTTTGGGCCTGGGATTTAGCTCAGTGGTTTCGCCGTCTGCTGCGCAAGCGCAAGGAGCCGAGTTCGATCCCCGGTACCAAAAAAAAAAAAAAAATCGCCCACTGGAAACAGAACTTACACATCACAAATTCACCCATTATAACATGTTGACTACATTTTGTGCTGAGTTGTAAGGATGTATCTGGCATGGGAAACAAAACAATCTTTCATGTAACACACAAAAATAACTTTCGTGGCTGAGAAATCTCTGGAAGTATCAAAACCTAAGCCAATTTTGTGACGGCAATTAGGGTAAATAAATTCCCGGCCTTGAGATCACGCGCGAAAGGTAAGGACTGCAAGATCCCGAGCTTAACCGGGTGGGACACAAAGTAAGAGAATCCAGGGCCGCCCTCCCGCGCGTGGGGAACAGGCGCCGGTACCCGGGCATCTCCGCCGGGGCGCAGCGCGCGGCTCCGGCCTGCGAACTCCCGAGCTCCCGGGCGGCCGCAGGGAAGCCCCACCTGTGCCCTGCAGCATGTTCCGCCGCAGCAGGTCTCCGCTGGAGAGGTGCTTCAGCGCGAAGTGCTGCAAGATGCGCGACGACACGGTGCCCTTGCCCGATCCCGGCGCGCCCATGATCACGGCGCGCAGCAGCCGCGCGGACGCCCCCATGCCGCCTCAGAGGCCTCGGCCTGGCCCGGCGGCTGGCAGCGCTGAGCAGGCGGCGGCCGCGGGCCCGGCTCTCCCGGAAGTGGGCGACGGCCACGGGGCGCCCCGCCCCGGCCACCCAGCCTCCCTCCACCGGGCGGGCGTCCCCTTCCCTCCTTGGCGGGGTCATCACCGCCCCCACCCTACGCTTCCCTTTCCCCGCTCCAGCCTCCTCCTCTGCCTCCCCGCCCCCACCTGTGTCCCTCGGGTAGAAACACTGCTGGGGACCCGGGCCTGAGGCCCCTGCCTCCTCACTGCAGTTTTCCCAAGGGGGCTTCTCAAGTCACATATCCAGGGAATGGGTCTCTTACCTCCCAGGCCCGCGCTTCCAGAAGCAAAAGTAGCTACTTTTGCTTTGCAGACTCCAAAGGTACTGGTTTCTCGGCACTATGGGCTCCAGAAATGCATTCATTTCATATCTGTTTAGTGCCTACTATGTGTCATGGTTCCTAGGAGGCTGAGAATGCTGTAGTGAACACGAAAAAGTTCTGCTCCCTAGTTTCAAGTCTACTAGAAGTAGCAGATCATGATGAGGAAACGAGCCAGCGAGATAATTTGAAACGGTGCTATAAATAAAACAGAATGTGATGGTGTGGTGGGAGGCTGTTTTAGATCTGATGGTCAATAAAGTTTTAAAGACTGGCATTTGCATCCAGGTATGGTGGTTGATAGGTCTCCCACTACCTCAGCAGCTATTATGTATAGTAGCTGCCCTCTTCCTATCATGCCTGCTTTGCCCCCTCCCCTGTGTGACATTATGCCAAGATGGTTGCTCCCACCAAAGAACAAACCCTTCTTCCCAGCATGCCCCTGTTCCCGCCTAGAGAGTAACCTAATGCTCGCTTACCTACCAGCTAGTGACATTACGGGCTCCTCCATTCCCTGGTCACCACCTCACTCAACCCCACCTCAGCCCCTACAAACCCCACCCCAGTCTCTATAAAAGACTCTCCCTGCCCCGACCATATTGCTTTTGTCTCTCCCTTGTTCAGAGATAGTTTGGCAGATCTATACCCCTAATAAAGGCTTGTTGTGGCCTGGTCTGGTCTTGGTTTTCGGCCCTTTTACTTGACATTTCTGGTGCCGTGACTCGGAAGGTAATGGTCCATTAATGGATGATCCCCCGCAGGACGGGGTTGATTGACCTTTTGGCCATCTCCATTGGACGGACCCTATCTGCCGTTGCCAGAACCCTCTGGGCCTTTCTACCTTTGCCATTGGTGGCGCTACACATCCACACCGGTCACCAATGTCTGGGTGAGTAGGGACTTCAGCCTCCCTCTCTCGTTGGGTTCTCTGTTTTGTTCTCTCTCCCTCCGGGGACTTCTCAGAAATCCAAGCGCTTGGTCAGAGAATCCTCCACGGCTACTGGGCCCAGGACCGTGCCCCTGGGAGACGTCCCATCGGCCCACCTCCTCTCGTTCTCTCCCTCTGGGAGACTCACTCGGAGATTGTCAAAGGGGACAAGGATGCTTCTCCCCTTTGTCCCTCTCCCCGGGAGCTGCCTCCTCCTCACCAGCTCTAACATGGGGGCCCAACAATCTAAACCCCCTCCCTCAACACCTCTGGGCTGCTTCCTGGCACAACTCAAACCCCTTGGATTGTTGGGACCACACTTTAAGCCAAAAAGACTTGTTTTCTATCGTAATTAGGTTTGGCCTCAGTATAAATTAGTGGGTTTCCATGGCCCCAAAATGGCACTTTAAATTTTAACTTTCTGTGTGATTTACACAACTTCTGTCAGCGCAATGGCAAATGGTCAGAAATCCCTTACAAGCCTTTTTTCTACCTATGCTCTCGACCCTCCCTCTGTCAAACCTGTTCTTCTCAAGTACTCCTACCCCGAGCTTCGCCGCCCACCCTTCCCGATTCCACTCCTGATTCCAAAACATTTGATCCAGCTGATCACTCACCACTCACACCTCCCCGACCTTAAAACCCTCTAAACCCTTCTGCCTCGTCCCGTACTTCTTCTCCCCCCGCCATCTTGTACCTCTCCTTTGTCTCCTTCCACCTCACCACATGGCCCTTCTCCACCATCTTGTGACCCTCCTTTACCTCCTCCTCCCCAATCCCCACCATCTCCCCAAACCCATTCTTGCTACCCACCCTTCCCACATGGGCCCCACCCACACAGATGCCTCTCTGAGAGGTTGCCGGACCGAGAGCATTGTTAGAGTACATGTGCCGTTCTCTTTCTTTGATCTTTCTCAAATTAAAAAATGCTTAGGCTCCTTCTTCTCTGATCCTGATGTCTATATCAAAAACTTTCCCACAATGGGACTCTCAGCTAGGCTAGGCAGATAGAGGCCACAGAGACCATATGACTCTCTGACTCATAAAAGGTTTATAGTGAGGGACAAAATATTAAAAAAGCTATAAGGAAAAGATATATTTTTGAGATAGAAGGTTTTTATATGTCTGGTTAAAAGGACAAGACCAAAAGGCCTAGGTATGTCAAGGTGTGCAAAAGTGATTTGTGAAGGAAATATGTATGTTTGCTTGTTGGTTTTAAGTTTGTTATAAAGGTTTACAGGAATGGAGTTTTCATTCCTTCTGATTCTAATTCTACAAGAGATCTCTGTTAAT